ATATATATAATTATTATCATAAATTTCAATTATTATTTATTTATTATATTATAGATGTGGTCCAATGGTTTTGGATGCTTTACTTAAAATAAAAAATGAAATTGATCCTACTTTGACATTTCGTCGCTCATGTAGAGAAGGCAAGCATTTTTTCAGAATTATTTTATACATTAACTATATTATAATTATAAAATATAATTTTTATGCAAATTTAAAAAACTGATTTAAAAAGTAATTTTTAAAAACAATAATTTTTTGATGATTAAACCTTGATTTAGTTTATTATTTTAATATTTATAATTAATAAAATTAAATGTTTTATTGAGTTGGAATTCAACTATCATGTTTTTCTTGCCTATTAAGTGCTTCTAACTATATAAATAATTGATAACAGTTATTTAACATTCTGTTAAATTTTTTTGAAATATTTTTTCCAAAAATGAATTCAGAAAAATTATCTATTACCATAAATAATCAAAATGATTGATAAATATATGAATAAATTAGATGACTATATTTTAAAATAATATAGATTAAAGTAAATTTGTTGTCATAAAAATAAACAATAATTACAGAAGTTCTCAAGTTAAAAACATTAAATTTAGCAATTTAGAATATATTAATGCACTTCATTAATGTAGAATTAATGAAGAGTTACTTCAAGTAACAAATTAACTAACTAATATTGCATATAATGTGACTAATACTATGTAGATAATCATTTTAAAAAAAATTACATGTTCTATTTTTTAAGTACAAAATAAGGCATTTAATGGAAATTGTCATGATTAATGTTAATTTTTATTTAAATATTTGCTTTTCTAAATCACTAAAAGTTTTGAATTTATTAGACTATAAATATTACTAATTTAAACATCTTTTAAAAATATGACTAAATGATTAAATAATAAAGTTTTTAACTATACTGAAGGAACATAAAATTAAATCTTTCTTGCTCTTTCAAGGAACCCTTTTGGGTTAATGTTGAGTTGAGGCATGAAACTTTGTCCTTACCTAATTTGGAGTCAGGGAAGATGATTCTGTGAGCTACTAATTTGCATGACCTACAATGCCAGATCAAATTTTGAAAATTTAAGCAGGTAAATTTGAAGGATCAAATAGGAGATTAGATTAAAAATTGACAACAATGAGCTACTAAATCTAAATGACCAAAGATTCATCATGAGTAAGAGCTGGATTTGTAGGTGTTTGAAATCTCAATATATGTGCATACATGTGAATGTTAAAAACGCCAGTAATATACATTAAAATTTGTAGGCTGAAATGCATATATACTTAACTTCTGTCTGCAAGCAAATCTTACTGATGTCTGTTATGTCGCACTTTTTAGGTGGAGGAAATAAACATATGACAATAGGTGTTGCAAGGAATTTGAAAATTATAATGTCACAAATGCTTATTAGAATAAGTTTCATATAGGAGATGCAAAATCAAGTCATTATGAATAAAATTTTATAACTCTATGTTATCTAATCAATCATTACTGAATTTATTTCTGTACATAATTTTAATCTGGTCACCCTCAAACATCTTGTAACCTATTTCCCTTCATCCTGTAGTTACATAGTCATATATTTTCATTTATAGCCATGTACAAATGATGAGAAATTGGTAAATGCTCTTATTAAGTTATTAACTAATATAGATTTATTGCCAAAATTGATAGTAATGTTTTGTTCCCAACTGATATGAACTCTACTAAAATTAGTCTCAGTCCAACTAGGATTTGAAAAAAAATAATTGTAAACTATAAGCGCTAAACAAATTTAATATACAAATTTTTATAATTTTGCATTCAAAATTATTAAACTAATTTTATTTTTTAGGCATATGTGGATCTTGTGCAATGAATATAGGAGGTTCTAATACTTTAGCGTGTATTTGGTAAGTTATTTTTAAAATGTAACTAATTTCTTCAAATAATTATATTTGTAATATGCAATCTGTATTTTTATATTTAAATTAAGTACTCATTTTCTTTGAAATGTAAGTATTTAAATATTAAAATATAAACCGTTGCTTTAATAATTAAAATTGAATTATTTTTCTTAAGAAATAGTAAACAGTTAAAAGAAGATTTGTCTGTGAATTTATAAATTTTTATATTTATATGATAAATTTTACATATATTTAATAAAATATTTTATGCTATTATTTTTACTGATATTTTATAGTAATAATTTTTATTATTTTAGTAATATTGATACAAATACAAGTAAACCAACTAAAATTTATCCTTTGCCTCATATGTATGTTATTAAAGATCTTGTTCCTGTAAGTATATTTTAAAATTTAAATTTTTGAATATATAATAACAATACAAAACATTAAATAAAACTTGCTACAAAAAAATTATCATTTTCTTTTCATTCATTGTATGTTACGAGTTAATATGCCTATGTCAGTTTTAGCACATTAATTAAATATTTAATATATTTATAAATTATTTTACATGTGATTTATATGAATCAGAAAATAGTATAAACTTTATTAATAAATAATAACACTAATTTATATATGTAAACTTTAATTCAAAAATAAATTTTATTTTATGAAATATTTGAATATATTTATTCATTTTGATTAAAAAAAAAGAATATAAAATAGTTTATATGCTTTGCATCTCAGTATTAATTAAATATTTTAAGAAAATTGTAAATATCAAAAATAAATAAAAACAATAAACACGATTTTCATCAACATGAATGATATGTAAAGTACAGTATTCATCAATATTATTCTATTTTATTTGAAATGAAAAATTTGTATATTATATTCATAAGATAGATGCATAAATAAAATTTTTCTTATTTAAATAAACAATAAATATAGCAAAATTTGATTAGAGTTTCACTTATAATAACACAGTACAAGTTTCTCATGTGTTTTTATTATTTATAATAAGATGAATATGATAACCAGTGCAAGATAAATTATTAAACAGCATTTTACAGTGGGTGACCAGTTAACGAATAAATTGGATAAAGAACAAACACAAGAAAAAACGACATAAAATAATGAATACCAATTGGTCTTCCCTTGTCTTCAGGCAACAATTTGAAACTTTTCGGAGTGTGGGAGACATCGATGCTCAATCTGGTATATACTGATTTGATAGAATTCCTCCAGCTTTGAAACTCTCCCTTGTAATTCCAGGCTTTTATTTTTCTGACAGAAACAATTCTTTTATAGTATTTGCGATACTGTCAGACAAGCACTCATTTAAGTTTTGCGTTGTTTTTTATTTTCAAAAGGTGAAACTATAATAGCAAAGGTAGAGAGTGGGCAGAAGATGTCTGATGTTGCTGGGCAGTATGCCCAGCAACATCAGACAATCAACATCAGAACATCAATGGCTTGAACAGGTCTACAGTAGGCTGCTGTTCAATTTTATCTAAGAAAGATACAGTATAATCAAGAAGACAAGCAGCTAAATGAGTAACAAAAATCACATCTAAGAAATAAAGAACATTGAAGAGTTCATAATGGAACCTGAAACTGATCTGACAACAGAAGAATGCCAAGAACACTTGAATGAAGAACACCAAGAAACCCAGCGAGATGTGTAAACTTCTTTTGAAAAAGAGGATTAATGCCAATATCTGCTATTAAAGATTTTTTGAAGAAGTGGGAGGATTTCAGAAGAATGGTCTTAAAATGGCATTCAAACCAGGTTGAGGTTAATAGGCTTAGGAATCACTACAGTAACAATGCTATTAATTACTTCTGAAAAATCCTGAAGAAGAGAGAAAAACAATTGACATTAGACAGATGCTTTAACCCCCACAAACAAAAAAAAAAACATGACTAATAAAAATGCAAGACTGTATATATGTATTTTTATTATTACGTATAAATAAACATAGTAAAAAGTATGTATTTATTTTTTGGGGTCTCCATAATGAATTAATCAAATTCCCATAAAAACCTATAGTAAATCGATAATTGGTTAACAAACAATTCGGATAGCAAACAGTCTTGGAATGGATTATGTTTGTTAACCGATCACTCACTGTATTTGTCTTATGAAATAATAATTTATCAGCATTAATAAAAATGAATACTTGATAGACCTATTTAGTTTTGTAATTCTTATCTCTTTATTATTTATTTATTTATTTAAGTTTGTTTCAAATTTTAATTTTTTTATATTATTCAGTATATCAGGTTGGTATTGCAGCACCCATGGCACATTGTAGGTGTGCCCTATAGAACCATAGTCATGCAAATGCGTATATATACTTGTTATTTTATGTACAGTATATACATATTTTTATGTTTTGTTTTAGTTATTACATGTATGTATAATCTTTATTTTGTATAAATATACATATTTCAAATTGTATATGCCAAGAAAATAATTTTGAAAAAATTTACAAAATTTTTTTGGTGAATTCTGAGTGTCTCTTCCGTCCTTTATTCCCTTCATACACCAATAGGAAATAACCAATCTTGCAGCGGAGTCTATTTTTATCTAGAGGATACTTCTCTGCCTCATCATGCAAAACATCACAAATCATATTTATTTTTTAATTAATTTAATATAATTCATATAATTTATTTTTAAAATTTTTATTGTGACCCTGGTAACAAAAAGGTTGCTGACCACTAGAGTATACTATCCTTTTCTCTTCAGTTATTGCAACTTTCTGCTTAATGAAAACTTGCTTTATAAACTTTTGAATTTACATACTATGCTAATTTTATTCATATTCTGTTTAACACTAAATCATGTCATAGAGAAAAATTTTTAATTTTCACATTCGGTGACGTTTTGGTGACTTACTCATTAGTAGAATCCATATAACAATTTACTTTGTAAAAGAAATTAATAGAAATATGAATTTCATTCAAACAAAGCTCTGCTAGACTGTTAATTTATTAATAAGAATTTTAATTAAAAAAAATATTGCTTTTATTAAAGTTGTTATTCATCATTTTATTGATATTAGTATTATTTACATTGATTTCATTTTGTTGGTTTCTTTTTGTAGATTAAATTTTGAAATAATAATATACAATATACCTTGTTTTATTATAAGAGATGATGAAAATAAAACAAATTAGAAGCCCTTTTTATTTGCAAATGCAACTCCTTGCCAAAAAAATTAGAATATTCCATTCAAGTATGTGTGTTGCACTATGAAGTGGAATTCATTTAAACTTTCTCATATATGTCAGTATGTATTTTAGTGTAAAATGTATAATAAGGAAGCTAATTGTCTACAATCAACTACTTTTGTTATTTCATTTTGCTTTCTGCCTTTTTTACAAAGTCAAGAATAACTTTCTTCTTTTCTATAGATGAATAAGGTTTTTATCATTGTATTTGCATAAATAAGTGATGTGGAATAATTTATTTTCTAGAAGGGATAATGAGTTTGTCTCTTGTTTGACAATTCAGGTTACATTTCAATATTCTAAGTTTTGTCACAGGAAAGTAAATATTCTAATCTTTTGTCACAGTCAACATGTATTGTATCTAATAAAATAAGTTTTTCTTGTAAATTTATTCTACATTCCTTATTAAGTGAGGAATTAATATTTTTATTACATAATCATAACACAAAATTTTAACTTACAATCTATTTCATTGCTCAAACCATATTTGGATGGAATATTCAAAATTTTTTGTAGGGAATTGTTGTGTTAGGATAAAACTAGGATTCTGTAGAATTTTACCCAAGGAAATCTAAGATTTAAAAAACTTCAGCACATCGAATGGAGAATGGGGGAAAAGAAGTTCAATGGAACAAATGTATGATTTTGAAATGTTGGAATTGAAGGATATAGATTGTGTTGATTTTGAGGGAAAAGGAGTTTTCTTCTGACAGAAGTTTTCATCAAACATAGTGGAATAAACATAAACTTCTAATATGGTTGAAACATAGTTTGGATGTACAAGCCAAATTCTAATTGGTCAAAGTATTTGTCCAACATGGAGATGTAGTGGTAACCTTATATATGTATTTTGGAACTTTTATTTATTTTTTTGTACATATAATTGTTGGGGAACTAAATAAATGTTTTTCATATGTTTTTGTCACATCAGTGACTAAGTTCATTTCACTGATGTTCTTTGAAAACACAATTAATACTCATACAGATGTTACTAATTATTACAAAATTTTATTTTGTACTAATTGTATTTAATGGCAATTTTTTTTTGATCTAGGAATATGTTATATATTTTCTGTTGACACCAAGCTATCGAGAACTTGTATGGGATCTGTGGATAGAGAGTACCTTCTCAGCAGGCTCCTTTTAGCATTTTCTTTTAACAACTGAAATATGAGAATATTTCTTTATTAATAAAAAGTAATCTAAAATATTTTATTCTCTGCTTGTGAAAATAACATACTTTTATAGGTGTACAAATTACTGTGTGCATCTAAGTTGTCTTTGGGCCACAGAAAAATTCCCAGATCTCTTGATGACTTCTTTACAACTAATAGTTATTCATAACAATTAACGGAGACAGCGATTTCATTTTGCAAATTTAATTTAATGTATAAATTTTGAGGAATGAATTTTATTTCTCACTATCTTTTATTTAGTATTAAAATGAATTGGATTAACTATTGATGTAAAATATATAAATGCTTTACTAATTATTTCATGAACTTTATATTTATAATTATATGTTTAAGTTGTCATCTAGTTACTTTTTTATTAATTTATATTTAAATTTTTCAATTTTAATTGTAATATATACTAATATTTCCAGGATATGAATAATTTTTTCGAACAATATAGAAGTATACAACCTTGGTTGCAAAAGAAAGAAGAAGGTGTATTAGGGCAGAAACAAAATCTTCAAAGTATTGAAGATAGGAAAAAATTGGTAAGTCTAGATAAATATTTTATGTAAATACAGCAATTTTTTAAATTGATATCATAAATTCATATAAATCATATTTAGGAAAAAAATAGCATTATTGTTCAGTATCAAGTTTATTATTAAATGTTATCTTAGTGTTTGTGTACTGTAAATATGGTATACTATAAAACAGGAAGTTTGATATCATTTTGCTATTTTTATATTGTATATTTTTAACTTATTTTAATTCCTTCAGGATGGACTATATGAATGCATTCTTTGTGCATGCTGTTCCACTTCCTGTCCTAGCTATTGGTGGAATGGTGATAAATTTTTGGGTCCTGCCATTTTGATGCAAGCATATAGATGGGTTATTGATTCTAGAGATCAAGCAACAACTGAACGACTTGGTAAAATGAAGGATGCCTATTCAGTATTTCGATGCCATACTATTATGAATTGTACAAGAACTTGTCCAAAGGTATCTATTCTATTTAGTTTGTGGCTGAATATTTAATTTTTTAATAACAGTATAAAGTTTTAACTTTTATTTTTTTTTTTTTATTTCAGGGGTTAAATCCTGGAAAATATGTTGCAGAATTAAAGAAACTTGTATCAGGTGTATCAAAGAAAGATAAGCCACAAATGACCGGAAATGCATAAATACTTATTTAATTTTAATCTTTTCATCTGAGCTTGCACAAAATTATTTATAAAAACAGATAAAAAAATTTTTGTTTAAGGGTCATTAGGTTTTGATCAATAATAATCCAGATTTCAGTCAAATAACTACACTATGTAAGCAATAGATTTTTAAGAAATAAATATAACTCAGGAATTTTGAATCATTTGCAGTATATAAAGATTTAGTTATATCAACCAGATTAAAAAATTTGAAACAATTAAAATTTCTGAACTTCATATCATATAAAATAGTGTTTCTATTTGAGAGCTTCAAAAGTTAATAGTAAGAAAAGTTAGAATTCTGAATCATTTAATAATTGTGAATTAAAAATAAATTGAACAGTGTTAATTACATGAAAAGAAACACTTATTTTTATTTAATATTAAAGATACATTACTAGAACATTATATAACAGTGTTGATTTTTAATAATAATTTCTAAAATTTTTCACCAGTAAAATCTTTTATCAGATAATATTAGTATGTTGTTCTATTTTTATATAAATTCAATTTATGTTTAGAATTTTGCACATACAAATATCTTTTGAAAGCTGGAATTTCTTGATAAATTGGGTCAAAAACGTTTGTTCTATGTGTAAAGTTGGTGCTGGAAAAGTAGGAAAGGTGCTTTTACATATACAAACAGAAAATTTGAATTTTCTGTTTTTTTATATGTACTTTTATTCTTTACTCATAATTGATAAATAAATAATAAAAGAAACATCAATTATGAATAAAAAATAAAAGTATCATTTAATGAGAACTTTCTTCTCCAATATCTGAAATTTTTCACTCTAACTAAAAACTGTTACATTGTTGGTTTCTGGATAATAGAAGACATACAACAGTAATTAAATGTCTAAAAAATTATCTCAAAATACATCAATCACTTTAAAACTGATTAATAAAGTGATTCATTGATACACTCATTTTTAAAGCATAAATTATATTGATAAATACATTCTTCAGTATTTTTAAGTAAATGTGGTATTAATATTAGTTATTTGTTGTTTAAACTCACACAAAAATACTATTTAAATACAGTTAGAGATTCCTATTTGTTTCCACTAAAAATTTATTTTTGTATTTGAATTAACAAAACACTCAACTTTCACAAAAATTTGAAATTAGTAGTAGTAGTTTATGAAAATCTATCTGTTGAAATATCTTAATTTATATTAATGACTGTTTCTAGTTTATAATTTTCTATTATCTGATGAATATTTAAAAATTGAGAAAACTATCATTTATGATGATATAATTTCAAGAGGAAAGGAAAGAAGAAAGAAAATAATGTAGTAGAAACTTGTCTCACTTGTGATTAAAGATCATTAGAAGAGGTATGTGAGAATAACCCATCTGTTTTCATATTTATCATTGTTACAAAACAGTTACTTTTGTCATTTATTAACTCTTTTGCATTAAAATAACAATAAAAATTTCTTTACAAGTAGAAGTTTTTCTAGAATAAAAATAACAATTTATACAACAATAATTTTTATTGGAATCTTTGTATTAAGTTCATTCTTTTATTTCGAAACACACGACATTTTTTCCTTCGAAGACGATTTTTGATGGACCAGTAAGAATTCTTATTGGGCGACATTGCCATATAGTTGTCATTTCTTAAATTTTTCGAATCCGCTAATTCTGTTCTAATCCACGCAGGCACGACGTTTCTCCTGGTCCTCCAATCGTCTAACATTTCGTACAGGTGAACCACACACCTTTCCACAAAATCGAAAACGACGAAGAGCGATATACCCAGCCACATTCCCATATAACCTCCAATATAACTGAATACTTCGATCAACTATAGAAAATCTGAATTAATAATAATTAGGGAAGAAATAAAGCGAAAGTTTTGTATGCACCTACCTCATATTTGGGTACGTATTTGTAAAAGAAAAATTCGGGTTTGTCTACAGAAAATACAACCACCGCCGCTCGTTTCCTATATTCAAAGCCATCAATTATGAACATTGGGCTACTAAACTATTCTTTATGAATAATTTATATTAATAATTACCTGATGGAACTTCTTGTTTGTTTCGGATATATACATTCGTACTAGAATAGATTATTCCGTGTAAATACACCTTAAGAATATAATTACAACTTGTAGAAATAAGCTTTTCTTACAATTTCTATGATGTCATTAGAGAATTCCCTACCAGATATTATCGATCGATAGTCGATTGAACTGAAAAAAATCATTTGTAAATTCAACGGCGTATCTATCAAAATAAATACAAACATACTTGCATTCCGGTTTGCAAACGGAGTAACACTCTTCTAGGTTTTGTTTCTTGACACACGTTTCGTCATCTACGTTAATAAAATGATTCAATTACATCTATGATGGGTAAATTAAATGGAAAAGAAAGAGTAGTTACCTTGTTGACAATATGGCGAGTCGTGAGGATAAACCGTTTGTTTCAGAGCGCATTTGCAATTATTTACGGTTCTGTTTAATTTGCAGTGATGCACGCACATCTGAAAATTAAGCCTGTTATTTGAATCTTTTTTTTTAAATCTCCTCGTGTGTACTAAGAGCATCATTTAAGTAAGCCCATTATGGGTTCGATCGGGCTCAAAATGAGACAGCCTGTGAGGAACCATCTCTGGAAAAATTCCTGGAGTTTTTCAATTGCAGATCCCTCAGAGTGGTACTGTACTGTACATTGCAACCCTGATTGCTCGGCCATCCGGCTGTCGTGTTGTTTGGATCCTGTAAATGATATGGTACCTACCTCCCACGTATATGGTCCTACTCTTCCTTCTTCCTTCCATTTTTGTAAATAGTTGATGCAGTTTGTAGAATAGGGTGATGGTAACAGAGTTTTTTGAAACTAAGAAAAAGTAAAGTCACGAAGACATATTCGATAAAGGAATTTACAAAAAGCTTAATTATCGTACCACATTTAAATTAACGTAATTAACGTAACCAGGTTTGGCTCTAAACCCTTTTATAAAAGGATTCACTATCTCGAATGGTGAATGAACGGCTATCTCCGCTTCCACTCTCTCTGTCGGGTCAATGTACTCTTCCGGTTCCAGATCAAGGAATAATTTCATAATTTGGCGCGTTTCTATAGAAAATGAAATTTGTTTGTTAAATATTTTACGGTTGATATATTTTCAATCAGATTGAAATTGAGAAAATTAAGGACGGGCCAATTTGTTTATGTACTTTCTATCACGTATGCTCAAATGATGTATTCCCGAAAAACCTTGGCATCGTTGGATATACAGATATCACAGGTATCGTTCCATTCGCCCTTATCCACATTAAGTTATGAATATTCTTTATATGCCTGATTATATTCGTATCGAATTTAATCGGTATAAAGGTTTTCTAATATATAGCATTGCATCGCTCGGATTGGATGCGGATTATTACAATCTCCTTGAAGATTCCATAAGAGCTAAACCCTAAACCCAATTTTATTTACTGGCAGAGGCGTAAGTCAATCGTCGGGAGCCGCGTCGTGGGGCAGCATAACGTAGTACCCCTATTACGTGGGGTAGTATTTATATTAGGTTATAATAATACTATATCAGGGCTTAGGAGCCGAGTGCAAGTCATCCCGTAGTTACGTAACTGCGTGTAAAATTCAAACGCAGTATTGAGAAAATTGAATTCTTCGGCACTTTCTAGGAAATTCCAATGTTTTGTAGAATACATATGTGATAATTTTATGTAAATTATTTATTGTGATATGGTCGCAATACCAGGCTCAATTTTTAATTATTTTTGAATTTAAAAATCACGTTACTTTCCAACCAGACTGGGAGTTCTTATATAGTTATATGGGAGTTAATCGGGTCTCCGGCCCTAAACTTCCCATATCTGGTCTGGTTTTTAAGTGGTGTGTTGTCCCTGTATATCATACTTTTCCTGAGACCAACCGAGTCATGCCGGTCATCTAACTCCGTACGCGAGAAAATTTTGAATTGAAATCACGTGACTTCCGGTCTAGCCCGGATATTTGCATATCGTTAATCGGGTCTCCGTCTCCGACTTTCATCTGTCTAACTCCGTTATCGAGATTAACAGTGGGAATGTATAGTTGTGCAATTTAAAAATTGCAGCTCAAGTATGAAGACATTGTCTACCGTAAGGAACACAAATAAAAGAGAATTTGTTTTAGTCACTTAAAGCCTATTTTAATACTTGTAATTAAATTAAAATTAAAATTTGCAAACCTGTTCGTAAAGAAGCATTTTTTAACGTGAAGTTCATTTTATCTACTACGGAATTCAATACGTAGCAGTTCCTTTGACAAGTAGAACCTTGAGATAATGTAACGTGAAGAAAATCATCCATCCTGAAAAAGTTTAATTTATTTAAAATTATTTATCGGGAAGATAATAAAATGCAAAACTTACAGTTCGTAAGAATGGTTATCGGCTTGTATTATCTCGAGTTTTCGAACCAAAGAGTGAAAGCTGTGACCATAGAGTATCAATTGAGAACGATTACAAACACTACAAAATTTCAAAGCATTGTGTGTCGAAAGCTGGAAATCAAAGATTTTTAATAACATAATTTATGCATTTTTATGATAATTTAAAACAAGAAATGCTAATTTTACCCGATGAGAATTCAATGTCTTGCAAATATAAGAACATCGAGAAGAAAAACTTTCGTTGATGTTCATTTGACAATTTCTTATATTTTCCGGACAATATTTGCTCCTCTTGTATCTAAATTAATATAATATCTTTCTGTTATATATTTATAAATAAATTACACAACAATCAATAGTAATTCTGCAAGTGATTTATTTATGTAACGCTAACCTGTTGTTGTTACAGACGGTTACGCTGGGAAGTATCATGTTAGCTTCGTGTTTCATTTCCACCACGACGGAGGTGGGATATGAAAAATAAATACTTAAAAAGGACTTTGTTTGCAGAATATAACCCAGCAGACAAATTAAAAACACGATTAATCTCATACTTCTTCTACATATTTGATGTCGATTGGCTTCCGACATTCTCTTCCAGTTTTGCTTTTCTGAATGAAAATATTTTCGCATCGTTACTTTTGACAAGAAAATAATTTAGAGATGAAATCATTTATGGAAAAGAAAGAAAGAAAAAATATATTCTTTTTACCGAATTTAAATATATATTGTAGCCATGTATATAAATGTCATTATTTGAAATTCTTTTCGAGAGTAGTAGTAGTTAACCCAGTTTAATCGAGTAATTATAATACTGGCAATTGTCTTTAGTGCATATAAATGGCCTTGGGGAGCATTATAGGAATTCAATTAACTACTTTCCAAATCATTTACATCCGACCATCCACAGAAAATAATCAATGGAAATTTTTTGATGCGTAACTTCTCCAATCAATCTTTGCAATTTACATTCCAAATGAAAAATTGCTACTTTTAATGTGTTTTAGAAGTTTCGTTCCATCAGAAACCAGCGAAAAATTGTTATATGTATTTTTTTTCTTTCTTTCTTTCTCCAAAATAATCAGATTAATAATTGGCAAGAAATGCAAGAAGTACTCACCGTTATTTCTCCGTATATCCAGTAAAAATAACTCATTTCTGATGAACCTCACCTTCTTTATGATAAATAAATCAATTTTTCAGATAGTATCGGCGCCGTTTCTAGGTTGTAATTTATGCATTTCTGAAGACACAAAAGGCATTTCCCAGAATGTTGTACACATGACAATAAACGACAACTTCGCTTCATACAAATACTTTTTTTTTCTTTCTTAATACTTTACTCAATAGATGAATATAGTTAATGATGCACTTTACTACTAATAACGTTTTACAAAGGAATAATTTTTACACCATCTGATTACAATAATCGTAATTTATGTAGATAATGTGTTGTCGATCATTATTTTTTCTTATTTTCGGGACTTAATTCATGCCATTCTGTCCATTATTTAACACTAAGTTAATAGAAATTGTGTAAAATTTTTTATTTTTAAATTTTTAATGATTCGTCGACAATTTTTATTGTTAAAACATTGTTAAACGTAATATTGAGCTCTCTTTATACGGATTCGGATATATTAAGAAACAATACCCTCAAGGCTTACATGCGGGCAAATCCCACTAGGCATTTGCTTCGACAATAATGCCTAGTGGACAATCTGCACTGAAGGAGCTCCTGGACCCAGGTTCACGTGCCTAGGGACCACATCTCGGGGGGTCCCAAAATTAAAAAAAATAAAGCAATTTTATATTACAATTGATGGTTGTAATTAAGTATTTTTTCACTCGTACCTATTAATTTATTGATAATTTTCGTTTATTTTTAAATAAATAAATAAATTTCTTCGACTGGAACTAAAAGTAAGCATCCAGACATTGTTAATGACCTTATGAAAGGAAGTAAATGATAGAAGTTTGTATTGTTGAGGCAGAATGAAGTGTTTTATGTTAGTCGATAAATAGTAGAAAACAATTGAAGATAATGAAGAAAGAAAAGTTTCGTAAGAAAAATAAGAAAAATCTTTTTTGTTCGATATCTCATCAGATGATAATTGATTGGCACATTTGGTATCAGATGTCCACTTCTCGTCTACTCATTTTTATAGATAAACGCAAAAAATAAATACCATATCAAATGATTTTGTACATAAAAATATATAGGGGAGATCGGGGCAACTTCGGCATGCGGGGCAAGTTTGTCAAGCGCTTTTTTTAAAAAACAAATTAAAAGGAGACTTTGGTTATAGGTTAGGCAGTTGAGTTTTATTGGTGGCTTGTTGAGTGTAGTGTTTTTATTGTTCTCCAACAAGCGTAGTTGAATTATCAAGCAAATTTTCATTTTCGTTCAATTCCATATAATATTTTTTTTCCATTTATATTGAATTGGCAGGTTTTGTTATAATTCCATGATAACGAAAGTTACTTTTCCTGTTAGAAGGATGTAACTTCAACTTATTCACGTGGCCAGATCGTGGCTTGGCATTCTGTTCTCAGGGTTGTACTTAATGTTTCGAAATCATGACTAGCGGGGTAAGATCGGCAACATAAAGCCACATTAGAAGCAAAGGATAAAAATCAAACAGATGATAAATGAAAACATGTTTGCATTTGTTATTCATGTATATATGTCTTTGAACTTGCATTTCGTTGTAATAATATTAAATGGGTGTTGGATTTGTATTTCTTTGTTTTAATAGTGAATTCCAACTTATACATTGTTAATAACATAATTTTATATACGTGCCTATCTTGCCCCATTACTGTTGCCCCTATACCAGGGGCAACTTTAATAAAAATAATTAAAATAATTACAACTTTACAAAAAGAGAGAAGTTGCCGATCTTGCCCCTATACCCGGGGCAACTTCGTCAATTTCTCTCTTCTTGTAAAGTTGTAATTATTTTAATTATTTTTATTTCCAAACTGATTTTAACCAGTTCTATAGTAAGGTAACATTCCAATAGACAATATGCAAAGCTTTTTTTTTCAGTTTACAGCAGTATTTATTACACAAAATTTAAGTAAAGCTTAACATGCCGATCTTGCCCCGATCTCCCCTATATTAGAAAATACAGCATATTAAAATACGAAAATTATCTTAAATCATGTTATTTTTATTTGTGTTATTTTCAAAATGTTCAAAATTGCCTGAACTGAATGTAAATATCTCATATAATAAATATATTTATAATTATGTATGTCTAAATATAGGACATTTAAGATTATTTTTACGACGTATTTAATTAAATTTTCTAAATATATAATTGAATTTGAGTTAATGATTTGTCTATATTAACACGAATATATAGTTTAAAAACATTAAAAACATTCATTAAATTATATTTTTGCCTGAAGAAACTATTTTTGTGTAATTGACTCTAAATTTAGTGGGTTTTTGATAATAAGTTCGCTACTAAATTTAGTAGTAGACCTATTATCAAAAGGAAGAGCTTATACTAAAGGAAATCATTTCCTGTAAAGAGAGTTGACCCGTTAATAACTGGTGCTATATAGAGAAAATAACTTAAAGGGATAATCTCACGAGATTCTTATTATGTAATTAGTGTGGTGTATATAGAAGGAAATGTTTTCTGTCTTTTCCTATACATATATTTAGATAAAAATTTAAAATTGCCTTTAAACAATTCCTACAAATGAAACGATTTTAATTGTAAATTAAAAATATCACTTTTAAATAAATTATATTGGTTATACATCTTTTAAGAACTCAAATTAATTAGTAAATGAAAATTATTTATGTGTACTTATCGCAGGATTAATTAAAGAGATTTCTAGCAGTCTAAATGCAATCAAATTTGATACGGTGACATTTAAGGACATTTCCATAAAAACAAAAGTTAGCACTAAAACCGTCACTAATGGCACTTTTGGCGCTGCGAGCGACAAACGTTTTATTTGTAAAAGATACTCGCTACACTTTAGCAATGCAGTAGATACTGTACAGTGCAGTAAAAACTAAAGACGATGAACACTGTGTTTAACGGACGACCGTAATTGATGCTCTGTGATACTTCTTACACGCAGTGTGATGCTGTCTTTCAACGTTGCCAAGTTTATTGTCCTTAATAAACCACACTTTTTAAATGTCCCATAACCGAAAATTATACGGATTAAGATCCAAAGCGTCATGGTGCGTTTTGGTACTAATTTTTGTTTTTACGGATCTCATGTCTTGAAATGTTACCATACCAAATTGGGTTGCATTTTAATTACTATTAACTAATACAAATGAAAATTATTACAGTTTTAAATACTTCTATCGTACTATAATTGTAGAAATATCCGTAAAAAATAAATTTTGTTTGTTGTATTTGCTTAATGATTGCTTATGTTAATTAATTCTGTATTTTTGAGTAATAATAATTAGAAAAATATTCCTTAACAGAGATATAAACGAATAAAATCGTTAAAATGCATTAATATTCATCCCTAATTAGAACTTTCACTATATTTTTTTCCTCATGCAATGCGATTGAAACAGTATATTGTCTATATAATATTCTCTAAGCTCGTTTCCTCTGTACAATATTGATAAACACACAGAGAATAACTTGAATTTAGAAACGTTTTATATATTATATTTTGTTTAAATTAAAATTAGATGGAGAAATTTCTCACAATCAAAAATAAAGTTTTTTAAACTAAAAAATTAATCTTCATATTAGTAGATTTGTGAAGTTTGATATTTGTAAGTACGAATCAAAATATTACAAAAATATTCTCAGATTCCTATCATTAAAATTAATTGATGAAGTTTATTCTATTGAACTTTGTGTTTGAAGGAAATTGAACAGCTGAAAGAAAAGAAAAGGAAGAGATAACATAGCTGCACACTTCGATCAGTCGAAGGATAATTGTCTTAAGCGAATTCATACTTACTATCATCAATTTCTTCCAAAAAAATAAAGAAAAAGTCAGTCGGAAAGCTCTTGTAATGATTTTTTTAATTGAAAACAAATGTAATAAATCCCAAAAGGATTATAAAAAAACGAATATTGATGAATAAATAATTTTAAAAATCTCAGAAACTTTTAGTGATTATGCGTAATACAGTATAAACAACCGAAAAATTATAAAAATAAAATGGAAAAATGTATATATTTTATATTTTATTTTTGTCTTTAACGCTTTTAAAATAGTAAAATGTAATTAATATTTAAAAATAAACTTCATTAAATTCTTTTCTAATCGAGATATTTAGTTGCATCTGCTGTAGACTTTCATTAGTATTTATCGGTTTTTTTTACGTACGAATCGTGCAATATGATTCCCATCGATTGTCTTAAATAATAGACGTTTTCATCTTAAATTTTTAAAGAGCAACATTAAGATTACGAGCAAATTTCTTAATGGGAAAAGAATCGCATTTATTCTAAGATAATTTGATCATAATAATAATAATAATTTTTCGAATTATCGCTGATGCTTCTTATTAGAAACGAATATCGATTCGATAAATTATTGATATTTCTTAATTTAGAATTTTTCGAATGAATTTTTTTTTAAGTTAAATTAGTTTTGTGAGAGTTAAATGAAAGAATATAACAAAGCACTCGACGTGAGAGAGAACAAACATTATATTTAATTTGACATGTAATTCCTGAAATCACTGCAAATGACAGGTAGATCACTCGTTTTTTTTTTTTTCTCAAAATGCTCCAATATAGAAAAGAAAATTCCAATTTAGTGAAAGGTGTTATTTACATAATCACCACAGTTCACTCTGAGGCACTTTTTATATATCAAAGAAAATCTTTCGATTAACGAAACACTTCAACTCTAGATCTCAAGATATCCGCTCGATAATCTGTACCGTTCTCTTCTTTCTCCAACAGTAATCCTGCCACGTACAAATGACGTTGAATGTAAGAAACGTGTGGTGCCAAGCGAAGGGCCTCTTGAAAGCAATCCACAGCCTGTCTCAATTCATTTCTTTGAAGATAGACCACGCACAAATTATGAAGTCCTTGATAATTTCTAGGATCTTGACGCAAGATCATTTGGTAACACTGTAATTAAATTTTAAAATAATTAATTTCATATCATTTAACATCTTTTCTTATTAAAACATTAGAAAATATAGACGACTTACGATCTCTCCTGCCTCTAAGTCTCCTATGTGTGTTACGTAGATGTCACCAAGAAGAAGCAACCCTTTGACGTGCCCTTCTCCATGCTGGAAATGGAAAAAAAAATTAATTTAAATTTTACATACAACTAACTAAAATATAAAATTCTTTAATATAATTTTTATGTCATTCTTCTGTAAATTATAAACAAAGAAGAAATGTGTGATAAATTCAACGAAATTTCTCTGATGAAAAATGAAGGAAAATAGCAGAAATAAAATGTAATAATCGAATTAAGTAATGATAAACGTTGACAATCTTTAAAATATTATTTCTTAGTTATAAATAAACAATAAAATTCGAATAAAATTCAGAAAGAAACAGGAGAATTTATTTTATTACGTTATAAAAGTTAAGTATTGTACGAAGAATTAATTTACGTTAATTATAATTAATTTATGATAAATTTTATTATTTTTAACTTTTATTTAATCAAAATTTTCCATATTTGCACCTATTTATTTTTTAAAAAATCTTGCATCATTAATTTTACTTGATATTTTCATTTTAACATCTTTCTAGCATTTAATTATACACTCATAATTCTTTCCAGAACCAATAAACGTTTAAGAATTTAAATTATACAAAGAAAAATCGATTCAATTTTTATTAAATTCAAATCATTTATTGTGTAACAAGATTTGAAAAGATAGTTTTAAAGGATGAAAACAACTTTTAAATATGTTTTCGTTGGAAAATCTCGAATCTAATGTATGAAAATTTTACCTTTAATAACATTTGTAGATAAGTTGCGGCTTCGTTTAATCTATTATTTTGATACAGTAGAAGAGCCATATTGAACAAAGCTTCTGGAAAGTTGAAACGTAGCTGAAAGCATTCAACACTTAAAAAAGAATTCTAGAATTTTATTAAATAAGAGAAATGTTGACCTACCTCGAGTGCTTTATTCAACCATCCTTCTGCTTTATAATGATCTCCAGACTTAATAGCTAGCATAGCTAAATGGAAGTAAACTGTTTCATCTGCTCTTCCATTTTCCACAACCTTTTGCAATCTGCAATCGAAATCGTATTAAGAGTTATCACTAAATTTTCCAGAATAATTTATACTGATGCGCTTTTTTACCTGCTAAATGCAACTTGGTGCAAATGGGTGAAACCTTCTTCCACTATTATCCTGGCAGAAGCTATCAGAGACGGCTTGTGTAGATAATAAATGATGTGTTAAGTGTAAAATCATATTATCAATTTATTAATTTGGAAATTTGACTTACCACGTGAAGAGGATCTAGATGAACTGCTCTATCGAATCGTTGCAGTGCCGGATCGTGTTTACCTTGTTTACTTAGGATAATACCTAGCTAAGTGATAGATTTCATTATTATTCACCTTATTATCATTAATATAACTTAGAAAAATACATTATACATCTTAATTTCATACGAACATTATAAAGCATATTGGGATCTTCGCTATCTTCTTCCATCGCCTTTTGTATAAATACTTCGGCTTCTCTAGTTCTTTATTATTATTATTTTTTAAATAATTAATGTTTATATCTAACCGTTTAGATATTTTACACGAAAAAAATGTATAAAATATACCTGTTTTGCTTTAGCATTAAATCGCTCCAACTGACATACGCTTCGGTATAATCACTTCTCATATTAGTGACTTGAGCATACATCTAGATTAAACAGAATTTATGCAAATAATTTTTTATTCATAAAAATTAAATATTCTTAAATTGTATACTATACTTTATCTGCTTCTTCGATGCGAGACGAATTTTGTGATATAAGTCCTGCTAAATGAACTAGAGCCTTTAAATGGTGTCTTGTTACTCGAAGCGGAAGACCGTTACCTTCTTTATGTTGAGGCAATAAGGATTTTGCCTATAAAAATATGTAATAATGACTATTTTTAATGTTTAAATATTAGTTATAATATTTAAAAAGTAATATTAAAATGATTTTTTCTTCTTTATACTACATTAAATAGGGTAGAAACTTAATGGTTTAACTCACATGTTGATAAGCTTTTTCGGCTTCTTGATACCTTTTTAATTTTGTGTAAACGTTACCCAAATTTAAATAAGCCGTGACATCTTCTGGACAAGTGCTGAAATTAAAAAGAATTAGAATTAAAACTACAAAGGATAGAATAAAATAAGAGAATAAAACTACAATAAAAGTATTCTAGTCACTTTGCTTCCTCTAAAGCTAAAAACTGACATATGTGATATCAATTCAAGCCTGCATAAGAGAGGTAAAGATTCAGAAACCTTTTCCATGTATAAAATTAAGCTAGAAAGCTTCTGGAATAGAAGCATGACAAGACAGATAAGTCGATTGTGCTTTGTATATTCGATCAAGAAAACAGTTCCTTCCATGTATTCCATTTTCTTATCTTATGATTTGAATACAATTTTTATTTAAATTTCATTTTTTACATTATTTTAATGTTTTAATTGCCAGTTTTATAAAATAATTTTAGAAGTCGTTATATAAACTTGCTTAAACTTCATAAGTATAAAGCCAGATTCTTACATTATCATCATTAGGCTCATCTTTTCCATTAGCCACATCTGCTTTCCATCACATTATATTTAAGATCACATTTAGAATTTTTATACTTAATGGATTTCGATATAAAAATAATAATAATGAAAAAAGTATTTTTATAATAAAGAGAATAAAATTACCTTATGGCCTTAATGTAATATCCTATAGCTTCTTTATATTTTCCTAATTTTTCAACCACTTGTCCAACGTTATTCAGTAATTTAACATTTCTGGGATTTACTTGCAGTCCGGATTTATATAAGGCATAATCTGTTTCCCTAAAATAAGCACATTCTTAAGTTTAATAATGAAAATTATTAAATATTTTAAATACGAATAAAATTACCAGTCGTAACATCTTCTAGCTGTTCTGAAGCAGTAGGTGAGAAGAAGGAAACAAATGGCTCCATTAAGAGCTACCTTAAATTTACTGGAAAAAATTATTTTGTAATTTAAGTTAATCCTATATAAAATGTGTAATTATATGCTTAAAATAATGGCTACGAACCCATAACTCCTCAATTTATTCACTCCTAGAGCAAATATCATTCCCATTCCCATACTGGGTAGATAAAGTACTCTTTCTGCTACCACAAATCCGACGTGAAACAACAGATTAGATGCAGGTAAATAAGGTACTATCAACATCACTAACGCCTGAAACGAACCATGAAACATTCAATAACAATGTTACACAATATGCAGAGATATTGATCCACTAAAATGCCTATACAATACAATACAGTTTGACGCGCTTTGTGTTACGTGTAGGCGCCATTGTGGAAAAAAAAGAAAAGATTATAAAGTTTTCTCGATTTTAACAAGTAGTTTAGAATATTTTTCAACGCTGTATGCAGTTATAAGCTGTTTAAAACAATGTATTTTCGTAGAAACAACTAATCTGTTTTTAATTGTCACTGCAGATATTCTGGACAGAAAAGATTCGTGCTACCAGTCGATAATTACTCTCGATTTTCTCATCCCTTCCACAATAACAGGTAACGTTGTACAATTTTCGATATCATTAGCATATTGTTCATTCTTTAACGAGGATAAATATTGAAAATAAATATTCTTGTCATATTTTTATAAATAAAACAAACCGATAAAAATCCCATTCGTCCATTCTCGCCATGCAAATTTATGTATCTTCATTTATATTTATGTTATTAATAAATATGTATCAACCAATTTTTATTTTGTACTTTTATATTAAAAGTCTAAAATTACATAAAATTAAATTAAAATTCTTATTTTTGAATATAAACATTAAGAAATAAACTTCTCTTAAATTACTAGTAAAATATTCAAAGATGAATAAGTGTTTCGTGTTTTCTTAACGATTTCTCTCTGTTTTTATCCATAAAAAAGAGAAAATTATTTAAAAATTTAAAAGTTTTAAATGGAAAACTTTAGTTATAAACTAAAACTTATTATTTAAGTAATAAAAAATATTACTTTTCATTAGAGAAAGCCGAGTGAAGCGCTACTGAAGAGCATAGACTTGTACTGCTATTGATATTATCAATAATTAAAGGGATGTTAATGATATCACTCTGACATAAATAATAATAAATATATTAATATAGTTATATAAATTATATTTATATTCATATAAAGATTAGTTTAGTTTGATATAAGTTGACAAAATATAATAAGGGTGATGATATTATTAGGAAGATGAAGATTCATTGTAGAGAGATTTAAGCGTGAAGTTGCATTTATGTTGGAGACAAGATTAAAATTCATTATGTTTGTCCTAATATCAGAATCAATTGTGTTGATGTTAGTTAAATTATACACATTGCATTTATGGAGGATCTCTTTCATAGTGTTTATATTCATCGCTAGATTAGATCTATAACTTAGAACTTTTAAGAGCAGAAATCCGTATTAATAACTCCTACTTACAGCCTAAATAGATCTTAATTATTTGAGCTTTATAATTAGAAAACTAAAACTGTTCGTCTAATTATTACACGGAATCTCTAATTATGTGATGTATCTCTAACTGTTCATCTAATTAGAGGCGTCAATAGACGAGCTGTTTAATTTAATAGGATTTAACAATTTATCTATGGAGATCTCATTAAAAGTAGAAACTTCCCGAAACAAGTGTAAGAAAATAATATCTGATTCGAAATTCTAATTTAATATAAAATTAAAACTCTTTTTAAATATCATTAGGTTTAAAAACATTAAATATTTGGTAAATATTTCAGAAGCCGAGATCGCTGGTGATGATTACAATTTTCTTCTTTTAATAGCAATATTAATGTGAATAAAAACTAAATAAATGCTATTATATTTACGCCTTTAATAAACAAAATGATTTAACGAATCGAAATTAAATAGAACAATTAGTAATTTAGAATTAAATCAACTGAAATCTGTTTTATCTATACGAGTTTATCTGATGCTGTGCCAAATTGACTGGGGATTTTTAATCTTTTTAAATATGTCTGTAGCAAAATAAACATCTTTTCCTTCTCCAACCAAGGAAAAAAATTGACATCAAAATAGACATATCTTTTCTGAGACCTCCGAAACTGGATAGACGATTGCTTCTTGTTGACTTATACGATCTTTTTGGTACTATATTTTGATATATAATATAATTAATAACTTTTATATCAATTTCGGCAAAAAAAAGTAATCGAAACAATCTCCATTATGGCATCCATCTCCGGAAAGATTTTCATTTAAGTCAAGTCATTTAGGAGAAGTAAATAGGTTAAATTTTTTTTTATATATCCGGTCACACATCCCCACATTCGTCTTTTCAAAACTAAACTGCAAAATTGAAATTCTTCCGATTCAATATATATTCCTAAGCGTGTTCAATAGACAAGTCATTTAACCATTTTTGATATTCTTCTAACATTCCAAACATTCGATGCGGCAAATCTTGCATTCCGAAACGTTAAATTCTTTTTTTCTTTTTTTCTTTTTTTCTTATTTATACATTTAAAGAAATATTTACAAAGACAGTTATTCGATATATTATCTAAAAGATTAAAAACAAATTTTCATTCTTACCAGCTTTAATACTTTCGAATCGAAAGAAATTCCTTGGAAGACAAGAAGAGTGATGATGATGTAAATAAATATAGTGGCAATATTTCTGGAATCCACGTAAGAATCTACCAGTGGTATCGATTCTGTAGACCAGTCACAACTCAGACTATAAGGAAATGCCATAAGCCATGCATTAAAAGCCACTAGATAATTTTGAGTTAGAGTTCGAATGATGAAATTGCAGCCGACAGCTGGATTATCTAACCTGCGAGAACAAAATATCATTTTAATTATGGCTTACAGTTTGTAGTTAACAACAATTATATTATACAATAAGCACAAAATATCGTTGACCAAAAACAAAATAATATGAGGTCGGGTTTCTTGAACACGAGGTCACTAAGCCCTGGCTTATCTATCCTTCACGTAAATCCGTCACTGTCTATAATACACCGTATCTTAAAGGTAATATATAGCCATTCATAAAGTATGAAACATAGGCCAAACATTGCACTTAAAGACGTATCATTCAAATCAACAATTATTAATGATATCGGTATAACTTATTATACAATCTAGTATACTAATATCATTAATAATTATACTCGTATATTATATAATTAATTCTAATAATTATTCGTGCTTATATTAAATACTGTATTAACTATATTAATAATTATATAACCGTCTAATAGGATTTTTCGGATTGTAAACTATTATTAAACCATCGGAAACATTTTTTAAAACCTGCTGTATAGGTTAACGATTATTATTGTTATTAGCTTATTTAGGGTATATTCTATGCCAAGTATTTGTAAATCGCAAGGTCTTTTCTAAACCAAAACTTTTCCTTACGAATCAGAAATTTACAGAACCCATTTCAAAGAAGTTCGAACTAGATTTGCCACCTTTCGATTTTCATAAGACAATAATAATAATAATGCATAAATGGGATCATAGTCGGAGGGTCCGGGTCTGCAGACCACTAGTACTCGTACAATATAATGTTTGTAGTCAGACTAGTTGTAAGTAACTGCAGAATATTAGCAATAACCTAAAAAAGGAGCAGTTAAGTTATCGAAAAAGCTTTAATGTCATTTCTACAAGAATCTGCAAGATACAATCTGCTAGGTTGGTGGATGCGGCTCAGGTAACGCAATATGCCTTAAGTAACACAAGAAACATTAGCCGTCAACATGTTTTTTGTTTTTCCTATCCATTTTGCTGTTAGGAAGGACGTTTCATCACTAAATAAGGACGGAAAGGCACTGCAATTGAAGCAAAGACTATCCTTAACAAATAAGGAACTGTGGCAACCCTAGTTCGACTTACTCCGAAACAAGCAATGTCTTAAGTAACTATATAATTTGTAATTTACAATTTATTATTTCCAATAACACGTTTATTTATTTATTTATTTATTTATGCTTTACGTTTCTAGTGCCTTAAAAGAATATTTAGCAAAAAAATAAAGGAACAGTTTTAAAAACTAAAATTATTTCGTATAAAACCAGACCTGACATATATTAATGATCGAGCAATCTGTCTAATTCTAGCCCAAATTACTTAGTATCTAAATAATTAATTAGCCATTAGCCATTATTTCCTAATTCTACACATAGAAAATATTATTATTAATAAAAATTTTTTATGTTTTAAAACATAAAACATTGATATTATAATTAAAGATTAATGTATATTGTATAGGCCTACTGTATGTTATCGTTGAAGCGCTACTCAGTCGAGTTGACAATTCAACAATGACAGCCTCACACTTCGACAATACAGTAGATGCCAATTAAAATAATGAGAAGATAGATGAAATTTAATTAGGCTTTCGCTGGTAGAAAAGTTAAAATCTTGTATTTTGGGGGTATAAATTATTCTTGGATTTTAATGTATTAATTCCTTAAATTTTCTTTACAATATGCAATATTTATATACCATTTGTTATAACTTGTTAAAATGGAATTGAATCTTAAATTTAATAATTGAAATCAGTGAATACAAGGCGAAGGTATGAACAAGAGCTTAAGTTCTTGTACCTTCGCCTTGTAATAAATAAATAAATTTAAAATTTATTTGTTCCAACATTGTTTTTAAAAATATTTCATTGATTGGGGTGGGTCTAAAAAATTTCTTTATCTTACTCTTATAATTTTATTTAAAAAAAACATACATATCTAAATATGAAATAAAACATTTATATCTATAATTATGTTGTTTATTTTATGCAAGATATGTTCTAATTATGAGATATTAATGATGTCGTTATATATCATTAATATGTCATAATTAGAACATATATTGCATTATTAACGATTATTTACCTATTAAAATATGGAAAATGATAATCCATCAATTTAACTCTCAAGATTAAAATGATTATAAAAGATGCAGCGATGAGATTAATTCTAACAGGTACTAAATTCCACCAAGGAGAACTTTTCCTTCTACACATCGAGTAGAAACATTTTCTGTTTATGTGAACCTGTAATATACGTTAGAAAAACTGTTACTTTATGCGAATTTATATATGAGAAGTTATATGTTTCTTACTGACCTGATTAAAGATAAATATATCAATAGCGATGCAGACAATGAGAGATGTTAGAGCCTGTTCTTTACATAATGTTCCTACGGTAGCGTAAATGATAGCAAAACAGACACCGCATCTCCCTGAAGGTAATTAAATTTAGAAACATTAAGTTACTGCAAACATTTTCGAAAACACAGCTGCAAATTGAATTAGTTTTTAATCAATAAATTAAGTATCCTTACTTTCTTTTTTATTTTTTTGATCGGGATAAATTGAACTCATGTAAGAGAGTATAGCGGCTATATAAAATATAGCCGAAAGTAATTCCGTTCTTCCAACGATGCTGGCAACCTGATACGAGTTGAGTAATTATTTTTTAATTTTTTTTTATCTAATGCTATTACAGTATTAATAAAAATCGTAATAAGAGAACTTACCGCATCACTGTGAATTGGATGTACAGCAAAATATAAAGCGGCCACTAACGCATCTTGAATAGGAAGGAAACGTTGACATAATCTTTAAAAAGAAAAGATAAGAAAAAAGTTAGTTAGATAAAGAAGAAATAACATTATCAGGCGATGCTTTAAGTAAATAAACTAACCTGAGATAAAGAAGAGAGACAAGAGCATGGAGCAATAAATTAACAGCGTGGTAACCCCATGGTTGAAGACCATGCAACCAATAATTCCATCGATAAGTCAATACTGTTAATGGTCTGTAGGATTTATGGCTTTGTTCCTATATCGTTATAGATTTTGATTAGGATATTAAAATTTACAGCATTTCGGAATTTTATCTAATAAAAAATGTATATTCTACACGAGAGAAATCAATTTTGTATGAAGGATATCCATTGTTTGTTTGAGGTGATTCAATAACTTTCTCCAACTTTATTGCTTTTGAAAGAGGATAAGCATCTTTCTATGTAAATAGTGGATGGAAGGTAAAGAAACAAAAGAGAAGATAGAAATTATTTACAAGATTTATAATTCTAACCAGACACTCTGATCAATAATTAAAAGATATTTTTAGATGCAGAATGACAGTGAAGTATTTTACAAAAATTAATTATTTTCCATATAATTTTTAATACGTTCAAGGATGCATTAGTTATCTATGATAAATAATTCTACTCTTACTATTTGTATATTTATGAAATGTAGTTCCGTAACCTTATGAAAAGTTATGATTATATAGATTAAACCATCATTTGAAAATGGGGAAGGAAAAAGGGAAGGCATTCAATAAGTTTAAGCTCATTCGTTGTTTTTGTTTATAATCTTTTAAGGGATTAAATTGCTAATGCAACATTAGAATTTTTTCAATCATAACCTCATTAAAATTGGATTAATTCTAGAAAATTATTTCTTACAAAGTAATGACTATCAAGCTGTTGAAATCGAATTTTTAAATATCATTTTTTTAAATATCTTTCGTGCAATCAGAAAACGAAAAAAAATGGTTTCAAATTATAGAAAAGAGTTCAGAAATCTTCCATTTTATCGCCTAACATACATCACGGGGGCAGATTTCGATCACTAAACGAACAAAGGGAGAATAATCGACGTTCGGTGCCAAGATGTGATTAAGAAACTTAATCATATAGTACATATGACCTGACAAACATCTAAACCGAACAAACAATTATCTTCGAAAAAATACCATTTTTCAACTATAACTCGATTCTTTTTCTATAACAAGTTGCGAATTTTCTCTCTTCTGTGATTCTTTTGAATGGAAGGAAATTTCGAATCGTGACACGAAATCTTTATTAAAATTGTGATAGAAGTTTTATTGAAGAATAGAAATTGTGAAAGTACGTACATCTAACTATATTACGGTGGCAAAATTTTGTATTAATGATGTCCCACCCGAGAGATGCACTACAAGAAACTCCAAGCGTGTTACACGAATACCAAGCGTGTACTGACTACTAATATGGCATGAATTTGATTCTTTCATGGCTAGACATTTCGAAATCGATACTTCAACAACCAACTGTAACCTATTTGAACCAAGAAAAAATAGAATACGAAACTCACAAATGTCTAGAATACAAATGATAACTGCATTTCGTATAAATCGCGGAATAAAACTAATTTTATGAAATTTTCTGCATTCCAAGTGTTATTTTTCATCTTGTGATATATTCAAAATTATATTTATTTCTTAAGCAATAAATTTAAAATTTATTTGTTCCAACATTGTTTTTAAAAATATTTCATTGATTGGGGTGGGTCTAAAAAATTTCTTTATCTTACTCTTATAATTTTATTTAAAAAAAACATACATATCTAAATATGAAATAAAACATTTATATCTATAATTATGTTGTTTATTTTATGCAAGATATGTTCTAATTATGAGATATTAATGATGTCGTTATATATCATTAATATGTCATAATTAGAACATATATTGCATTATTAACGATTATTTACCTATTAAAATATGGAAAATGATAATCCATCAATTTAACTCTCAAGATTAAAATGATTATAAAAGATGCAGCGATGAGATTAATTCTAACAGGNAATATCATCTTTTAAAATATCTTTCGTGCAATCAGAAAACGAAAAAAAATGGTTTCAAATTATAGAAAAGAGTTCAGAAATCTTCCATTTTATCGCCTAACATACATCACGGGGGCAGATTTCGATCACTAAACGAACAAAGGGAGAATAATCGACGTTCGGTGCCAAGATGTGATTAAGAAACTTAATCATATAGTACATATGACCTGACAAACATCTAAACCGAACAAACAATTATCTTCGAAAAAATACCATTTTTCAACTATAACTCGATTCTTTTTCTATAACAAGTTGCGAATTTTCTCTCTTCTGTGATTCTTTTGAATGGAAGGAAATTTCGAATCGTGACACGAAATCTTTATTAAAATTGTGATAGAAGTTTTATTGAAGAATAGAAATTGTGAAAGTACGTACATCTAACTATATTACGGTGGCAAAATTTTGTATTAATGATGTCCCACCCGAGAGATGCACTACAAGAAACTCCAAGCGTGTTACACGAATACCAAGCGTGTACTGACTACTAATATGGCATGAATTTGATTCTTTCATGGCTAGACATTTCGAAATCGATACTTCAACAACCAACTGTAACCTATTTGAACCAAGAAAAAATAGAATACGAAACTCACAAATGTCTAGAATACAAATGATAACTGCATTTCGTATAAATCGCGGAATAAAACTAATTTTATGAAATTTTCTGCATTCCAAGTGTTATTTTTCATCTTGTGATATATTCAAAATTATATTTATTTCTTTATATTTTTGATTCCAAGCAAATTTACAAACAACTTATATAAATTTCGCAACTATTTTTTACACTTTCTCGAATTTAAACCCGATGCTAATGATGCGGATTTCTTTTTCCTGAATAATTTTACACGAAAAAAAAAAATCTTAAAATTATAAAGAAAATATGTAAATATTTAAATATTTATTTTAAGATTTATAAATTGAAAACGAAGCTTTTATTTAAGTTTTAAATTTGGTACTTTTAATCAATTTTTTTATTGTTTTAAATACAGCTTTAATTAACCATTTTATATTATTTATATTTTAAAATATAAATAATCAAACTGAATATAAGAGAGAAAATATAAATAAAGAACAAATTTTATGTATATACTTAACAAAAATTATATTCAAGCAGAAGTAATATATGAATGATTGTTGATAAATGTAAAGTCGAAATGAATATTAAAGGGGGGAAAAAATAGAAAGAAGAATTTTATAGAAATTTAGAAGAAAAATGATTTGGGAAAGGAATAAAGAAAGGCACAAAAGATGCTCAGCCAAGTAAGAAAATTACAAAGAAGCGTCGAAAGTTTAGAGAAAGAAAGTGTGAAGGTTACTTTAATCGGTGTAAAAAGATCTAGAATTATGTTGGAAATAAGATAAAGAATTGGATAAAGAAGAATGGAATGGAATCAAATTGTCCAGATAACTATGAAGAAAGGAGAATAGAATGAAATTCTCTTAAATATTTTCTTAAAATGATAAAAGAAAGTTTGAAAGCGTTTAAAATTCAAATAACGATTGTTTTATTGCTAGAAAGTGCGAAGATATTTTAAAGTTAATTAAGTGTTTATCAACTAGTACAAAAGGTTAAAAGTTCAACTCGACCAACTACCATAAAAGCTTTGATTTTTCATTAAATTATACGATGAAGATACGATTAATTAAAAAACAAATTTTAACGAAAAAGAAGCGCATCAAATTATAAGTATTAATTTTTATATAATTTATATATTAATATTTCATGTGAATATCAGAACACATGTGATTACAGTTAGATAATCTATCAAAGAATTTTTATCTATGTAAACTGTCTCTTAAATGGATGATTTTTTAGAAAATAATGAATTATAAAAATGGAAATTTATATTGATAGATATTTTAAATTTATTTTTTGTATCTCTAACACTGTTTAGAATAAAAATATGAGAGTTATGCTTAGTCTTTCCCTCTCTTATGAATAATATGGACGAGCTTTCATATTGAAAAGAACGAATTGAGATTGATTTATTGCTTTACGTTGTATCTTATTATTTATGTATAATATTAAAATTAAATATTATTTGAGTTTAGAAAATATTAAAATTTCTGTTGACGTATCGTACTCCAGAGAATAAATATCTTCAATTTTTTACCAGTCGCTCAGTATAATTAAAATTTTAAATCTTCTTTATTTTCACTTGTTTAATTAAAATAAATTAATTTATTCTTTTAGCAAAGAATTAAAAATTTTAAAAAAATGTTGACTTTAATTATAAAACGTGTTTTTTAAGATTTATTCGTGAATAATTTAAATAAATTGCTTTAAGAATTATTATGATCTGTCTGCTTCTTAAAATCTTTACATATTTATATTAATATTAAATATATAATCGACAGTACTGTATGAATTTAAGAGGCGAATTAGTTACTTGACGTGACTTTAATTATATAATAGAACATCGATTATCCCAAAATTATCCAAAATCAGTAATGGCACGCACACGGGCACTCGCAAACCATCCGTTCTTGAACTGATGGCTAAAGATAAAAGGGATGAGATATGACACATCTTCCCTTTCGACACTATTAACCTGCATTTTTAATGATTCCGAAGTTTTTAGATGTATTTTTCTAATAATATAACTTTATAAATATCGGAAAAAAAAACGTAGAAATTTATAAGCGAATGGAGGTGTAACTTATCATTTTCGAATGGATAATTTTACTTAGAAAATCATTAAAAATATCGAGTCGAAATCTATTGGTTTCTGCGAAAAACTACACACTTAAAAGTGGTAGAGAATAGAAGGTAATCAATAAAATGCAATGAAGCAAATGTCATAAATTTGCTATTTGTGAACTGGCTTCTCGTTTAAAATTCTATTCACATTTAGAGTGTTCATGATTTTTATTTAAACAAATTTTCTAAAGAAGTTTTCGTCTTTACTTTTCTTTTAAAGCCTGTTAAAACCGAAAGATAATACTTTTAAAACCACTTCACTTTTTAAAACTAAATACAGAATTCTTTATAATTTAACAAAGCCAATAGAAAGTAGAAATTTTCTTTTATTTTACGCCAGTAAAAAGTGAAAAAATAGGTAAAGAACCTGAAGTAAAATCGAAATTCTGCAACATCCCGTGCAAATGACGTTTGTATTAAACGTAATTATTATTGTAACGTCGAAAGTTTGATTGGTTACGTCCCTATGTGACCCGTTTTGTATGGAATTTATGGATGAGAAATTCGAGTTTAATGAACTGCAGCTAAGAATATCTAACACAATAGCGTTAGACAATTTCCTGCTTTACTAAAAAATAGAAAATTTATGTCTGCAGAATATTCAATTTCATTTTTTTTTAATCTAAAAAAAATCCTGCTAATGCTTTAATGTTTCCTGAATAATAATAACAATAAAAAACAAACTGGAGTTAATTTCTTATAATTCAATTAATCGCTTGATAATAATCAAGTAAAATTTTCTCTCGCTTATTATCTCCATTAAATCTTTATTTGATTAGAAAAGTTGATAATTTAATAAAAATTAACTTAAAAATAGTCTTTTAAAGTGGAAAAAAATAATAATTTCGATATAAATTATAAAAATATGTCGTTATATAAGCAAAAATATTTGGCACAAAAAAAAAACGAGAAAGCTTTCCTGAACATCATTCATTTTTTGATTTATTATTTAAGCAAACATCTTTTTTTCACTCCATTTCTGTTCTTTAACACATTAAATTATTTATATTTCTGAATTTTATGCATTTACGTAGCATCTTTTTTCCTTTTTTTTTTTATTTTAAATAATCAATATCTAAGATGCGTTACTTAAATAAACTTTTTCATTTTGCAAACTAAAAATTCGCGTATTAATAATGTAAGTGGTAACTTTTAAGTTTATTTTTAAGGAAAAAATAACCTAAAATTTCGTAATTTATTAAAAATTATAAATATATAACTAAAATAAATTACATAAAATTCATTTTTTTTCCTTTTTTTACTCCCCTGTCTCATCCCATTGCGATTTGCTTAGCGTAGCGTGACTACTATTAGAAGTGGACACTCGTGTAATCAAAATAAACATGGAAGAGCTCTCATATTTTGACAAAAAAACAAAAAAATATTGAATATGTTAAATTCTATATGACAAATAAATCTCTGTTAGGCCAAGAGCACGAAATATCACAAAGAATCTCGGCATATCGACACGTTTATATCTACATCTAGTGGCTTGTGTTTAGTGATAAATCCAGGGATTTAGATAAGAAGTAATCCTGTTTAACAAACTACATCGCCCACAAAGCAATTTAATTATATTAAACCAACGAAAATAGAGAAAAATAAATGCGTGATACGAAAAATTCCATTCGTTTACTAGATTATCATATTTTAACAATCAAGCAATAAGGAGGAAAAACAGCGCACTTTCTTCAGAAGAATGTGATCATTTCTTTAGTAAAAACGTTCAAAATTTTAATATTGAAAGAGAGATAAAGCTAGATCGTGTTTGGTTTCCTGCTTTGATTACATTTTCTGAGCTTCTTTATAGCCTTCTCCTATTGCTAACAAATAAAACTGAGCTGGAAGCAACTTATCTATTGTTTACTCCTCGATTATCTACAGTGAAACATCTTTTTTTGTGGTTATATTATCAATAAAACAGACGTATTAAATTTATAGGTATTACATTTATTTAATATATTATAGAAATCAAAAATATAATTAGCGATAAAAAGAAATTTGAATAATTTATTTAGTTGCAAAGTGAAATTGTTGCATATGCATCTTTTCTCCTTTCTCCTTGTCAGCCTAACCCGCTTTAGATATATTAATAAAGGAGTTTGATATCTACAACAACAATCTCATTTATTTTGATTGTATTGTGTCACAGGCTCGGAATTACAATGGATAGGAATTTATTTATTTATGATGGAGGGTAATTTATTAAAGCATCCTACAGCTAAATAAATAAGAGCTACAAGTCTATGTTGGTTGCGACTATAAAGAAACATATATTGAATATCACATTTTCCATAATTTAAAACGTTATCATTCTTCATAATTTTCTACTTTTCTGGAGAGACTTGTCATATAAAAGTGAATTATCTAGAGAATTTTTATGCTTATTTTTTCTGATTTTTTACACTTCACGCCAAGAAGGAACGTTTAAGTCTTTGCTTTCAATCATTTTTTTAAAGTACGTAATTAATATTTTAAGAAAAAAAAATGATTAAAATCATTTTTTGAATTTATTCTTAACGATTATATTATCTTAAAAATTTTTTAAAAGATTTTTTTTGTTCAATTATAAGATTAAAATAAACTCACTTTCTGTGCATTTATATTCATCAGAACGGTAAAATTTTATCATTTTATTCCGAAAATACTTTTTAAAATTATTGTTATAAAATTTTAGAAAATTTTTAAAATATAAACATTTCTTTTGTCAATTTTTTTCTTCTTTTTTTCCCCCCTGCATTAAACAATTGTAAACGTTCCTTTAGTGAACGTACTGTACAGTGCGTTATCCGAGTGAAACTAGTTTCGCGAATTGCTTTTACTTTGTGATACATTCCTTGTTTATTACTTGTAAAACGTCTTTGTTTTGTGGCATTCTCTTTTATAACATTTTAAAAAAAAAAAAAGATTCCATTTTCTCCCCCTAAGAAACTAAGAAACTTTCATAAAAATTAAATATCGACGAACAAAGGAAAGTTTAAAATTAGATTGTATACCGAGTTAGAAGACATAAAATAGCTCAATGCATAAATATTTATCCGATAGAAGTTGCAGAAATCATTCATTTCGATATGACAAGCCATCAAGATGTAATAACGGAAGAAAAATGATACTAGAGTTTCTAAACAAAACTACAAACTGATACATTCGTCTTTAATCTTCGAATTGCGAGTTTTTAATAATATATATATAAAAAAGAAGGCAGTTAGAAAGGTTTATTGGAATAAAAATCGTTTATAAAATTTTATTTTTCCTCCTTCTCGCTTTCTAGTTATAAGAGAATTATTAATTGTACAAAATGGATATGATTCACTGCTGTAATTCTACAAGGAAATAAGATTACATTACGCGTAATGGATAAAAATTCTATCTACTTGATGAGTGAAGTAGCCATTATAGTAAGTACTATCATTTTATGAAAGAGGTCTTTTGATTAGTGATAATACTTGCTTACATTTTCCGAAGTTGCAAAAATGCTTTTAGAATTTTAATAGAAATGTTTTTAAGTGCGCGATTATTATCGCTTATTTATATATAAGCAGGAAAATTGTTCGAATTTATTGAGATTTATGAATTATTAATCTATGCCTTAACTTATTTTAATGGATTACTAAGAGAATTTTCTTCTGTATAAGTCTATTTTAAAAAGATACGAAAAATTTGATGTAAAAATTACAGTAGAAGATAGATTTATACAAAACTCTATTCGTTAATTTCAACGGCATCAATATTATCTGCGATTCAAAATCTCTGTATATAAACTAATACAAAGTTTACAAAATAATTTATATGCAGATTGTATTGATTTTAAACTTTCTTCTTCCGTACTGACTGTAGATATTTCTGGATTAGCGAAACGTAAACAAATTTGTGTGTCAAAGATACCACCCCGAACGTGATGCGGATGATAACGAAGATCAGAATTCTTTAATATTTAGAAGGAAGAAAAAAGAAATCCATTTGCAAAATTATAAAAGTCATAAGCAATTTTATTATTTTTTTTAATAAATTTTTTACCTTGTGAATTGGTGTCCCCCAAAAATCATGTACGAATAAATTAGATATGGGAGTGTGGCTTCTCACGTCTCGATTATCCTTGATGGCCGCAATATCGTCAAAGACCAGATCTCCTTGAAGAGATGGATAATAACAGCTAATTGCTGCTATAGCCACTGCTATGCTATGCAGTGATAGTCTTTTATCCTAGAAAAAGAACTCATTTTATTAATAATATAAGAGAATGATAGCAATTAAAATGAAAATTAATAAAGATTTTATAGTAAATTTTATCGTACAACCAGTCAAACGTTTTACGTTTAAAGATTTATACTTTATGGCAACGAAAAAATCGTATGAAGAATGATTAATTTTTGAAAGAATCATATATTATTTTTTTTTAAAAAAATAGGAAGAAAAATGGTCCGCATTATATCCTTAACAGAAACAATATTTAATGGCAATGTTATATATTTTCTCTTCTTCCATTATAAATAAAATTCAAAATCAGTTCATGATGTTGTTTCACGGAGTAGTCACTTTCGCTTACAAGAACCATGATGTTTGCTCTTTGCCGACCACTTAAGTCGATTAAGAAATGTTTCTTTACTCTTACGAATATTTTACTTTATCTTTTGCATCAATATACATTCTACGAGAAAAGGAAGAGAAAAAAAAATTCCGCAAGAAATACAAACAACGAGAAAAAAAAAACAAACTGTGAGATTTCCCAGAATTTTTCTTTTAATGTATAAAAATACGACCATTCTCGTAATTCTTCCACTTACTCATTGAATTCAACACTATTTAATCGCGTTAAAAATCGCTCTTTTTGTCAAACCACAAAAGAAAAAGATACGGCACGGCATCATTTTTAGTAATTAGAAACAGAATTACAATCGGAAAGAACGGTTAAAAAAAAAATACACTCAGAAAAAAAAAATCTATCAAAAAATCCAATAGAACCTACAGATAATTATCACAAAAATAAGAGAATTTAAGAGAATATTAGGAGAATTTCAGGAGCGATAGCGTATTACCATATGTTAGCATCTAGGAAAGATTAAGAGTTTGTTTTGGCAATTAAAAACGTAATAAGAAAAAAGGCTTACATTAGGAGACCTGTTCATTTTTTCCGATGATCGTTTCATACTTTCGTTTATCTGTATATAAGTAGTATATCATCCAACTCCATCGTTTAACGATCTGTTGTTGTAGCAAAGAGAAGTGCTTTATATAGCAAAGATGCGTAGCAGCGGCCTCTAGCAACTATCGATTGAAAACTAGGCACGGCATAATTGTAGGTTTGCCCGAAATTCCCCCATTGACCCTTTGCAAAAACTTTATTAAAAAAATAAAATTAACAATNTTTATATTTCTTTTCATTTATTGTGTTTATAAATCAGCTTAAATAACCTTCGTTGGCCTGAGGATATTCAGAATTACGATCATCCTGCCGTGTATAGCGAACACGAGTTCGATTGTCAACAATAATTTCATGCTAGGATGACGCAAATCTGTTTGTTGTTGATATAACCGCCGTGTCAATTTGGGATGATCGGTGTACAACATCAATTCTGACATAAACATACATTTTGGGAAATTTATCGGTCCGATTGTAGAGGCGAAGGCGATTGACGAATTTTTCAAGAAATTCCATTCTATCGAAAGAAAGAGGATTTTTGATTAAAAGATTGTATTTATAACATCGGTTATGAGATTGATTAAGAAAGGGAATTTTGAAGTAGCTTAAGATCTGTGATATTTTTAATTAAAGAGTTCGTGAGGAAGAAGAGCTTTCTGATGAATAGATGTATGAAAATGAAGAGAGAGAGGCTCATTAAAGACAAAAGATGTTCGAAACTTCCTTGGTAAATGCGGCAAAGAGAGTTTTACAAGTGAAGAGTGTAGGAAAATATAGATAACACGTAGGATAAGATCAAGGCGTTAAGCAGAAGCGAATATTGTCGATTGCTGTAAAGTTTTCTGTTTAAATCGGTAACTATCTACAATATCGAGTTTAAAATACACGTAAACATAAAAATAAACTGAATAAAAAATAGTATATTTGAAGGAATTTTGAACAAGATAAGTCTTTTTTTTTATAATTAAAATACGTACTGTACGTAAGACTTTCGATAATAAAAACAAGCAATTTTATACTCATACCGAGAGACGAACAAATTAGATAACCGAAATAAATATTTTATTAAAATCATCTGAACAAAAATAAGAAATGATAATTAATAAAATTAGAATGATATATTTAGAATTTTCATGAGAATAAAAACAAAAATTATACGATAATTCCAAACTGTATCATCAAACAAAAAAAAAAATATTGCTTATTAAATAATCGCATTCCTTTAATATAATAATTTTAAAAGTGATTTCTTCTCTTTCATATGCAAAATAAGTCATATCTAGTCGAATTCGATCCAACAGACAAGAAAATATTCATCTTGCCTTAGAGAAAGAAAACAAAGGTCAAACTAACAAAGTTCTTTTCCTCCCCATCTTTTTCTTATCTCGGACTTAAAAAAAAAGAAGAAAAAAGGAAGAGGGAGAAGAGGGGATGCCAAGTTATGGTGTTTCTCAACTCTCAAATGATGATCTCGTTTCTTATGTATCTACAAATGAGATTTTTTCCTACTGACTGTAAGTATCGTGTAAAGTAACACCGAGAAGAGAATCGGGTAATAAATAGAAGATGTTCACAATTACATTACACGATTTGGAAGCTTCTAGCAGTAAAAGTAACAGTTGTAAAGAGATGGAAATGAAGTATACACGTTGCAGATACGCCACTTTAATAATAATTCTTTTTTTTTTCATAACCAGAATCGATACGATATTAAAAAATCTTGGACGAATCCCATCATCATTCATTTTTCATTGTTTCGTTTGCTAGGCAACTTATTTTTCATTTATCTTGTGAGGGAAGTCATTGTAAATCCTTAAGCATAAAAATTTCTTTTAGAGAAATAAACTTATTTGCATAGCATTAAAAGTTGTTTACAAAAATATCTTTTATCTTCCCCCTTCTTATTTTTTTTTTCTGTACGAAAAACTATTTCCTTCTATAAATTTGCTAAGTTATGTTAAAGCCAAGAGGGCAATTGATATTCGCAGCAGGTAGTTTGAGCTAGAGGCTTATACGACGTTTGTTATTAAGTAAACAGTACCCCTTTATATCGATATGTAATCTGCAGTTACGTGGCTGCTTGTTGTTCAAAGTTGGAAATGCTGCCTTTTCCTTAAAGGCAAAACTTTAAGTACTTTCTAGCTGGCGACTCTTCCTTTAAGAACAACGTGAGTAGAATCTATACTGTTGAAAAACGTTGAGAAACAAAAGCTTAGACCCCTTTTTTTAATCTAGAAATTGCGATTTATTCACTGCTTTACTAGTCACGTATTCTTTTTAAATGGATGATTTCTTACGGTTTATTTAATATCTCCTGTTTTATGTAAATTGTCTTGGATATTTCGATGAATAAAACATACTTTATAACCCTGCCATTATCGGTATTAAATATATAAATATATTTTTATCCGTATATAACTCGTAGATACGCGATTTCTCCCTTCGATGAACGCAACCTCGTTATAACGACGTACCCGTTACAGTGAATATCCGGCTACTGGGCGTATGCAAGTGTATTAATAAAAATTCATTACCGCCACAAACGAATATGCAATTTAAACTAAAACTAAGTATTAGCGCGAATAGCTATTACACAATGAAAGATTAAATTACTTTCACTATAACGAGATAAACGAAATGAATCTAATCAATATCGTTATAACGAGAGCCGCGAATAGCAACTATTTATTATAACTATGAATTTAACTATTATTATTAACATATTAAAAGAGTTAAATGCGTGAGACGTTAGAAAATGGCAACAGATCAGTGTGCTTAGTAAGTACTTTTTCTTTGATATAATAATTTATATGAAGGTTATATGCAAGTAGCAATTAGCGAGTTGAAACTAATTAAGGTAATTACCATTGCTTCATCAATCACAAGTCCATAGCGAAGTGTCAAAGCACCTGGCCACCCTTTTCGTCAGTAATTCCTGACCCTGGTATGTCAGTACAGTTTAAACAATCTGCTAGCAGGCAACAGCCTTAATGAAACTTGTTATATTTATAAGAGTTGATTCTATAACTAGTGAAGATAACAAGCTTTTAAGATACACGTGACAAATTACGTTACTGTTGTCTTGTTCACAGGACATTTGACATTCATTCTATATTCTTAATTACAGTACTATAATAGGATTTCAAGTGGTAGACAGAAACTTTGCTAATTAATTCTGCTCCAACAAGGCGAAAAAGTTAACCATTTGTTTTGCCAGTTTGCATTTCTGCTTAATGACAATATGGATAGCCATGAATACTAAATATTGTCCTCCTAATTTAATACAATTAAACATATTTTTCAACTTTTTTATACAACATAAGGCATTTATTAAACCCGCAATCTTCGTTTCTACTTTGATTTTAATTATAAATTAACTCGCACATACGCTTTCATATTAAAATCGATACCTTAAGCAACAGCAAATAAAAAAAAGTATAAAATATAAAAAATAATTGATTATATTTACTTATAAAACGTATAAATATTTAATTTTAATGCATAAATAATGAATTAAAACAAATTTATTAACTTTAATTTTTTAAGATTTAAAATATAAATATGTTTTTTACGATTAAATTTCAATTTAAATCAATACATTTTCATTAAAAATATATAATCGAGATATTATATTTATAAATATTTAATAAAATTTTTAAAAAGTCTTATTTTAATTTAATTTTTAAACATTAAAAAAAAGCAACTTAATTAAATTTAAAATTTAATTTTTAAAAACGTTTAATTTAAAATCACAGTTTTTAAAATCGATTTAAAAATATATTTAATTATTAAATTAAAATAATATTATTTCAATTTAAATTAACTATTTACAAAATTAAAATGATAATGTTTTTAATGAATTTAAAAAATATTTTGATTCATAAAGAATTTTAGATTTTATTTTTAAAAGACGTTTTCTGAGTATTCAGATTAAAATGTATACATAAATAAATGCGTGCATTATCAGAGTGAGAGGGAATAATTTTGTTATACTTAGCAATTTTCGATAGGTGCAGTAAGTGCTAGATTTAATTGCCATTAAAGCATAGAGTCCGTGCATTAAAATCAGCAATGAATTGTGAATTATTCTCTTCTTTCCAGTGTTTTTCACTCGCCTTTTTCCTCTATTCTAATGACAGGAAAATGCACTCCAGCTATTACATTCTCGTTTGATACTAGAAAATGGGATTTTTTTTCCTTCGTCCCTCGATTAAAAAAAATGTATCAATATTATTTAAAAAGCATACACTCCGTTTGTTTACTTAATGGATTATAATTAATGTCGATCAATTATTTGGCCATTTGACATCAAAGTTGCCATCGGGTTTTGGAGAAAATTCGCGTGACAAACCTTAGAACCATTTCTAAAGGAAAGCAGCTGCGGAAACTCAACACCCTGTCCAGTAATGTGCAAAACGATCCAGTTTCGTAACATGTGACAAGCTGTCATGGAGTATGAAACCTCCGGAAGACGAACGTGAAATCCATAGATCCTCATTGCTCCTGCATCTTATCGGAATCTGTAATAAGTAAACTTATTGTTTACTTATCATAAGAGTTAATATAATTAATTTCTGGTTTATTACAACCATCAAAAGTGCTAAAAAATGCCATAAAATTTAATTAAAAAGAGAAAATTTATCGTCAATTTTTCTTTATTAATAAAAGAGAAAAAATTAAATTAGTTATGCTTGAATGTTTATGATAACAACAGTACAGGGGATATGTCTCTTTCTGCTTGCAGAAGAATAGTAATCATGATATGTGTCAGTTCCAATGACATTTTCCAGCTTGTCATCGCTCTAGTCCTCGATGATAAATGGTTCCAGCAAATCCCGCATGGTATCCTATAGATTGTTTTTTCCTTATATCAAACCGGGATCCGAAGAAAAAAGGATGTGGAAATCCACAACTTTGACATTACTAAAGGTGGATCAACATTACTGACACGTCCAACACAGTATCATAAACCACATAATTGTTTGGTACTTAAAAGAGATACAATCATCGCCATTATTACTAAGTTTTAATGGTCTCTTTTAGTAGTTTTGTTTCTCTCCTCGCCTTTATAAAACGTACCACTATAGATATATATCCTTATGAATTTACTAATCACGTTAGAATT